GAAAGGAAATGGTATTACAAAATTCTGAAGTTGAAAAATCAGATGAAACAAAAGACTGACTGGTCAGTAGAACCTGGGTATTGAAATCACTCACTATTATTATACCTGGAGCTATCTGCTCCTTAATGTCCAGTAGTGTTTGTGTTATGAAATTTCATGTATCAACATTTGGTACATGTATATTTAGCTGTTCTTGCTTTTTTCCTTCATTAGCTTGGTATATGGACTTCGATTCTTTAATTTTGGGTCAGTTGGTTTCTTTGCTTACCAAGTTCATTTCTTAAACAACAAATATCCGGATCTTGTTTTCAACCCCATCAGTAAGTCTGTATCCATTGTTTCTTGTTGTAGATTTATTCTTGTTTTTATTTATGTGCATGTGTGTATCTCCATGTTTGTATTCCATGTGTATGCTGGTCCATGAGGAGGCCAGAAGAGGTGTTGCAATCCCTAGATTTGAGCTACCTGATGTTGGTGCTGAGAACTGAACACGAGTTCTCTGCAAGATAATATGTGCTTTTATCCAATGAGCCATGCCTCAGGTCCTGGGTCTTTTAATCGGAATTACAGCATTTCTGGAAGGAATAGATTAGGAAAATCCTTGGATAATAAATATATTGACAGGTGGGTGAGAGGATTACGTTTGAGGTGAATGCAGTTCTAAAGGTTTTAAGAATGATGCCTTCTGACCTTGCAGACCACGGCAGGGAATTGTCATTTTAATCTATTTTCTTCTTTGTTGAGACAGGGTCTCCCTATGCAGCCTAGACTAACCTCAAGTTAATGCTCCTTCTTCTCAGCTCTGAAAACTCTGGAATTAGAGGCACGTGCTTCACTTGGCCTTCATTTTATTCTAAGTTCAGCATAAAGTCTCTCCAAAGAAGAAAGATGAGAATAGCAGAACTTAAAATATATATTTCCTTAAATTCTTCTATAAAATTAAGAGAAAACATACACATTACAGGTCCAGGCTAAGAAAGCCAATATTTAAAAAGTAGAATTTCCAGAAAATAGATAAACAAAACGCCTTTAAAAATCCCCAAACTAACAACAACAACAAAATGTCAACAAATAGAAAAGGCTCACAATAAATAACTACTGGGAAACTAATACTGTGTGTGTGTGGGGGGGGTTGTCTTGTTCTTCTTGTTGTGGTGGTGATGGTGGTGGTGTGTGTGTGTGTATGTATCACAATGATAATTAAAGAGGTCATGAATTTGAGGACGGGGGTCATATCCATAAAACTTCATACTACTAAGGGTGAAGAGAAAGAAACTTCCAGAAGGAAGGAGGGAAGGGAGGGAGAGAGGGAGGGAGGAAAAGATGTGGTCACACAAGACTCTACTTTCCGATAGTCACACTGGAATCTCAAAGCCAATCCATTATTCTTTTAAAAATTCCAAGAAAATCCCCAACTTTGTAATTTATATTCAGCTAAACTGCCAAGTAAGTTTGAGGGTTATTATTAGGATATTATACAGGCAAGAAAAATAATCATAGTTTACAATATACTTGAGATATACAGCAACTAAGCAAACCGTGTAAGAAATGAGGGCAGGGGTTCAGTGGTGTTTAATTTCTGAAGAAGTCAATATGAGGAGGTCTGTTAATTAGTATAAAGGGCATATATTGTTTTTCCCACTTGGTTTGGAGTGTCATGGCTGACTCTGAAGATCAGAAACAGAACCACTATGTGGACACCATTATTTTTACGTGGAAGGCAGAAGAATGGCTGAGCCCAACTGTCTAGTTCCCAGAGTGTAGCTCTCAGTAATGAATGTTCCCTAGGTCCTCTGACGTTTCTTGTCATCATCCTATGTGAGTAGAGTCAGGGCTGGTCCTGGCAGAAGCCTACCATCACATCTGTTTTGATTTTGCCTTCTACATAAGGTCCAGGAGAAAAAGTCCCTGGTCCACTTGGGGGCATAATCTAGATAATAAGTCATGCTAATTTGAAGGAATTTTTTCTGAGCTGTGTTTTCACTGTGAAACTTCAACTGTAGATAGGAGGTGGGGAATGACAACCTTGGGCTGCATACAGTTCTAGACAAGGGAAATGACTAACTAGAGATGGTATAGCAAAGCTGTCCCTAAATCCCAATTCTAACATCACCCTGCCTCCTGCTTCAGAACCCCATTGCTAGATAGTTTCCTGTATCTATAGGCTCATCCTCCACCAGACTCACCAGCTGGGTGAACAGCTATAGACACAAGCTCATAGAGCACAACTTCCCAGAAACTCTCTAGTCTCCTTGGACCATGACTGTTGGCTTCATTTGTCTGCTCATAGGCCCATCCCTGCAGACTCAGGTCATTAAACTATTTCTCTAAGTCTTTGAGGGCTCAGGAGCCTATATCCTGAGCTCTGAGTTAACACTGCTGCCTCTGACCTTAGCCGAATGGCTTCCTTATATCAGCCAGACACTACATTTCTGTCTGTTGTCTGGAGCTGTGAGAATACAAGGAATTAGTATATGAATCTTCCTGGTGTATATAGTAAACACATAATTCATGGGTCAGTTTCTAACAATTTACCTCTTGGCTAGTTTTAAATTCTCAGTGCTGGAGATTCTGTGTCTGTAGGCTGATACCTTAGCTCATAGGAATGACAGAGCATTGTGTGAGCTGGATGTTAAATGTTGTGTTTAAGATATTAAGTGCTGAATATTAAGACTTGGTTTCCTGCCCATGATGCTATTGGGGTAGCATAACTTTAGGAGGTGGGCCAGGGTAAGGACGTTAGATTCACTGGAGGTGTACGCTGAAAGGGGATAGTAAGACCCGGGTGACTGTTTCTTCCTCTGTCTGTCTCCCTTTCTCCCACCTCCTCCTATCTGGCCACCCCGAGGCAAACAGAACTGTGCCGTATCCTCCTGACACCACCAGTACAAAGCCCCAGCGCCATGGGACCATGGACTGAAACCCTGAGGAAAAGTAAACTTTTCTTTGTATGTGGCTTATCTCAGATACTTTGTCACAGTGACAGAAAGCTGACTGACACTTCCAGAGTGGTCTCGGCAGACTCCATAGGCAGTCAGTTTTGAAATTATATAAATTAAATAAGTCAGTTATGAAGTTATAACCCAGCAAAGAAGACATGAACAGAAGATATAGGGAGGCAGAAATTGGTGTGATGTGATCAGTGAACACAAGAAAATCCCAAAGTCTGCAATGGTGAGGAACAGAGTCTCCCATGAACCTTTGAAGTACAACCGTGCCAACCCTCTCACCTACAGACTTCTGGCTCCTAATACTTTGAGTAAATAAACTTGTGTTATCTCAAAGCAGCTTATTTGTTGTGATCATTTGTTGTGTTACATCAGCCAAGAGAAACTAATACATAACACCTAGCACCCTGTACATGGAGATCATTCTTTCAAATGGGTAATGTAGCACAAATCCTAATTGGTCTTGATAAAAACCCAGAGCCAGATATGGGGGTAAATGCTGAAAGATTAGAGAGAAAACTGAACAAGCCACAGCCACCTCTCACTTCACCAGCTCCTCAGCCTAAAGAGGGTGAGCTCCTGTCTCTCCCCATCCCCTGCTTTTTTCCTCTCTCTGCCAAGCTGTATCACTTCCTGTCTCCACCTCCCTAATGTTGGGATCAAAAGTGTGTGCCATCACTGCCTGGCTCTGTTTCTCTTTTAGATTAGATCAGTCTTATGTAGTCCAGGGTGGCCCTGAACTCACAGAGATCCATTTACCTCTGCTTCCCGAGTGCTGGGGTTAAAAGTGTGTGCCACCACTACCTGGCCTCTATGGCTAACTAGTGGCTTAGCTCCACATTTTGATCTTCAGGCCAGCTTTATTTGTTAAGGCACAAACAAAAATATTACCATAGGTAATTTATGTCAAAAACCAGTGTGCCTGTCATAGTGTGGTAAGTAGTAACAGTACTTCTGCAGTGATGTACACATTGAAGAAGTTAAGCATCCTAAGGGTACATGGAAGGGTATTTGGGACAAGGAAGGCTAGATGGGATACACAGAGAGACAAGCGAAGGTTGTAGAACATTTGACTTTGGGTTTCAGGCTTCCATTGGTATCCTTGTAACTGCAGCAATGACAGAGATATGAGATGTGATGCAGCGTAGTTAGGACTTCTAGACTGTTGTGGACAACCAAGGCATTAGTGGTTCTATTTCCTTCCTCAGTCCACTTTCCTTGAGTGAGATGCATAATCCTGTTTGAAATTTTGGACCTGATGCAGCCCTGAACTTCCCAGTCTCTGCTCAGTTGCCATACTTTGTTAACCTAAGGAGATAGATATACACCCTCACCACTTGGGGGAGATGTACAAGAGAAAACTGTTCAGGGTGCTTGCTCTCGGGTATACACAGCCAAACTGCATGTTTCTGGAGCCTGTGCCAGGAGAGCTGTACGGATGCTTCTGTGCCTCCCAGAGCATCTAGGGGGAGAGGCCAGACACTGGCAAAGGCGACTATGAAGCCCCGGGAAACACTTCCACCTCTGGCTCACCAGTTTCCCAGGGATAGCCCAGCTCTAGGCTACTGCAACACATACTCAGGAGATTGTTTGTGCCTGCGCTTTTAGATGCTACAGGCTTGCCTTCTCACTCTGTCCCAACCAGCATAGTCGCCACTAGCCTACCATGGCAGTTTAAATGTAAATTAATTGAAATTAAATACAATTTCATATTCTGTTCTACATCCACACTGACCACAGTCAAAGACCTGCTAGCCACAAGCGACTGCAGGATACCAGACTGGATGGTGAAGACAGAAATGCCACATACTGTCAGGATGTGAAGTAATGGGCAACAACACTCTAGGTATATACAACGTGACTTAAAAGTTCAGCCGTGAGATCAGAGAGTTTCTCCCTCTCAGAAGCCACTTGCTGTCACTGCTTTCAGGTAATGAACACTGTTGGCATCTCTGCACCCTTACCTGAAGACACGTGTTCTTAAAAATACTGTGCCATGCTTTGCAGATAATCCTATACATCTTTAAAAAGTAAGCATTGCCACTTCTAGCCTCTCGTGGAGGATGTTATTTATTGTAAGACATCGTTTTTTTATTAAATACACTGTAGTACAAGAGACATTCCATGTCAGGTTGAGAGAAGCTGGTCACATGATTTACAAACAAACTTTTTTTTTAAACACTGTATTCAGGTGTCACTTTGAAATCAGCCAAGATGCAGTGAGTCTCAGTGAAGCACTGGACCTCAAAACAGATTGCAAAAACAAATACGGGCCGGTAAAGATCGGCACAGAGACGTCACATTAAAAGGGAAATAAACCGACCAAAAGATAGAGTTCTAAATAACCAGGTCACTGTTGAAGGGGCAGTCTGTCTGCAGAGAGATGTTGAAATGAGTGTGTGTATGGCCTGTATATACAAACATCTGTCTGGTGTGTAAGCAAATGTAGGTATCCACACCTCTAGGCAGATTTGTGAGGGATGCAGGGAGAGATATTTCGCCATAATGTTCATTCCTTAAGGGAGTACATATTTAAAATTCACGTTTAATTCAAATACCTTGTATTGAAAATATTTCCAGCTGTTGTATACTTTTTAAGCAACAGTGAGCTATACAAGCTGTAAGATAGAGCCCCTACATCAAGTTTCCTTTCTCCATCTTCCATGTTTTTCCTTCCTGCTCAAACATATAGCTACAAGCGGCTTATGATACTTTGCCTAGCTCATTGAACGTTCAGTCGGCCTCCACTCAGGATCACTTTTCTTAACTTACAGACCAAAGAAATAAAATAAACGTGGACCTGGCCCAGGATGCATAGGCTGCAAAATGACGTCCCCAGCTTTTCCCATCTCTTCTCCTGAGACGCACATCAGCATGGCAGCATAGTTGCTTGGAGGTGGTTGTGAGATTCACAGTGTTTTGCTTGCAACACATTTACATGTATGTATTTTTTTTTGCTTCATGTTTATGATGAATGGACCAAAAGTTAATAAATAAATAAAAACATAAATAAATCAAGTTGAAGGGAAAGAAGAGAAGGTTGCCACAGCTAAGAATAGTCAAGAACCTTTGATTTCAGCAGCAGTGATTGATTCCAGCCCTGACAACAAGAAAATATGTCTTCTACACTACTGTTGTTTTAACTACAAACCCCTCCCACCCCAGTTCTTTACAATAGCATTTGAAATTCATGTCCGAGCTATCACAACCTGAGTCTCTACGTTCCAGTTATACATTGTGAAGAATTGGCTTAGACTGAAAACTTGGACATCTGGGGATTAGCCATTAGCCATTCCTCTCATGAGATTTCCTATATCCATGATACAGGGCCAAACAGAAGGTCAAGTTTGGAAGTAGAAGCCCTCTAACAGGGGATAAGGGATGTGGAAGCAGAGCAATGAGGGTGCATGTATCTGTGCTGCCGTTTTAGAAATTAGAAATGACTTAATGCCAGGTATTGCTGGCAGTCCTATTTGCAAAAGGAGAGGTTTAAAAAAACTCTGCCCTTGACCAGGGACCCCACTGTCCAGGCCTTGGGAAAGACAGCACTCCACACTGTGACTCTTGCTCTCCATGTGGATGACTACAAGCTGCCCATCTTGCTGTGGAGTTTTGGATGTTTTGCCATCGGCTTTCAAGACACAGGTCTCCCAACAACACTGTAGTTTGCATCTAGAATGGGGTTAGAGTGGGAAAGGTGAGCACAGTGCAAATGTGCAAAAGGGGAGAACTCACTTCTCCTTCCTGGACTTGTACATAAGGAGACCATTTGTCTGCACTTTTCCTTTGCAAAGAGCCAGAGAACATATTCAATGTAGAGGATGGCTTTCAGTCGGTTGTTTCAGGGAATATGTGGCTTTCAACAAAGCTTTCATCCAAGGACTGCACGGAGTTGAAAGTGGTGTAGTCCTTACCCACGTGGAGAGTGGAAACACCAACGCCACGTGACATCAGAAAGTTTTGGTTATTTAGCAAATTTTAAGCAAATTATTCATATTGCACCCTACTTATAATTATTCTATTACCATGTGCCTATATGTTTATACATAAACACACAAACACACTACACATGTGCATTTGTATATGTATAAATCAAGTGCTTATAACATATATTTTATATATATATATATAAGTACATGAAAACACCACAAGTGGAGCTGATGTGAGCATGTGCGCATGAATTCTGATAGAACCCTTGACAGCAGTGTTCGAAGCGTTTTCTAGATGAGGCTGATTGTGACATTGGTTCAATGTATGGGAGTTAGCAGAAGCCAGGAGCAGAAGCACATGATATAACATGTCATCTGCATGTACTGTGCATGTTTCCTTTTGTCCTAACCCCCCTCCTGCTTCACAGACATGCTGGCATGGTTTCCTTCCTGAATGTCTTGTTTGTATGTTACATGTCTAGTGAGCAGACTTGGGTGAAGCCCATGGCCTGTGAGCTTCTGAATCCCAATTCCTTCATGAAAAATATGAATAATTTGGCAACACATGCAAAAAGTGCTCAGAAACCATCAAGCAGTTTAGAAATGGAGTGGATGTCATCGCGGTTCGGGGTGGAGAATTTGGTTTCCTACCACCATGTTTGTCCTGTTTGGAGAGGGATACATTTTAGAACAAGAGTGTTTCTTTTCTAAAAATTAAAATACCACAAGAAAGGGGATAGTAGATGAATAATGACAACTATTTTAAGATGTTCTTGGCTCATCCAACTACTTAAAAAGCAATCAGATGTTCTGCAATGCTCTGAAACTGGTACATATTCTTGAGACAATAGAGGGACCAATAATAATAATTAATAATAATAATGATCAGTATAAATAACTACAATATTTTGCACTTGCATAGACACTTTCATTTTAAGACCTTCAGAGACTTGTCAAAAAGTGTAAGGAATCTCTCTCTTTTGCTTTTTTTTCCTGCCAAGGAAAATACAAAACTGGAATAGAGTGCTTTCATGCTCTCACACTCTCGTTACAGACCTTCGATGTGAACCTGCATGGCTTCCCTAACCCTGACCCCTTACAGTGCCATCTCCTCTCTTCTCTGCTGAGCAGCTTGCGGCTTTTTCTCCCAGGGCAACTGGTCAGACTCAGAGCGACAGACCTGTGCCAGTTCTTCGGTCATCGCTGATGGAATCTAGAACAGCATGCACACGCAAATCTGCCCTTGTTTTACCGCTTCACAGTTCCACAGTGTTTTGACAGTACCACGGGTCCTTTATATGATATATACCTGTCTGTATATATCACAGAGATATGGCTTTCATTATATTATTATAGGTATTCTGGAGGGTTTGTTTAATGGACAAAGAGGACAAGTAACTCCCATCTCCCATGGGCCAGTGCTACAGAAAGAACCACAGCATCTGCCTTATGTGACCCCTTCCTTGAGCGGGTCCCCTGGATCACCTTCTGTTCTCTGTTAATTTACACTGAGTTTTTTAATTTTTAATTTTTATTTTTTGTTGTGAGAACTTGCTTTCAAAGTCTATACTAGAAAACACAGTGCTCCAGAAATTAATGGGCACAGATGAAACCTACCCAGAGCTCTTGCACCTTCAGAAATAAATACCAAATAAAATGCGCTAAGATGAATGAAGTCACTCCTTTCCAATCTGACTCATGTTATAAAGATGTCAAGTTTATCGAACTTCCCCTCACAGAGGGGGACAGAGAAACGGAAACGCTGTTCTCTCTTGGTTTAACTGACTACCCTAATGACTGTAAATTTCTATTTAAATTTACACTCTTTTAGTAAAACCAATGATCATACTCAGAAGCATATCTCCAGGCTCAGTCTGGACATAGCCTCCCATTAGCCATACAGTGTCAATTTTTAATTTTTCTTTCTTTCTTTCTTTCTTTCTTTCTTTCTTTCTTTCTTTCTTTCTTTCTTTCTTTCTTTCTTTCTTCTTCTTCTTTCTTCTTCTTCTCCTTCTTCTTCTTCTCCTTCTTCTTTCACTTTTTTTAATGGAGTATAGATAACAAAACAGCATACTGACAATGAGTACATAGGAATGAAACCACACTCTTCCAAACAGAGCCCAGAGCAAGAGTCTTGACCTGCACACACTGAATGTGAACTCAGGTGCTGCCCCCAAGAGAGCTTTCCTTTCCCTCTGGGATGGATTCTGCCTGTCCCACACTCCTGTGGGTCTGAGGCAGATGAAGACACCAGGTATCAGCATGCCTATTAGGTAAGCTCATCACCACCAACTGTAGAGTGTTCTTGGTTGCTGATCTGGTTACCTTCCCTAAGCTGTATAAGTTAGACCTTTTATGGATCTGCCCTACCTAGGCCACCACAGCTGGAGCAGTAGTTTCTGCACATAGGTATTGACAAAGACCATGCACAGTTTTCTGAACAGTTTTAAGACAGGTGAGAGTGGAGGGTGGGACTGGAGGGAATTGCTGTCTGAAAAATTCAAGGTAAGAGAAACTTTCCTCAGAATCAAGAGTGTCTCCTGTCTTATCAAGGACTCAGATTTTCCCATCTGACCCTGAAACAGTATCTGAGTGAGACTCTACCTCTTTTCCACTGAACTTGACAAAAGCTTGGTAGATAACCCTTGAGGAACACATCAACTCTACCATCATGCCCAACCACAATGCACGGTCTCAATATGTGATGTGTCATCTGGGTCCATGGAAGCCATCTTTTCTTTCCTTTGCAGGCCAGTATCTGTGACTGGAAACTCTGTCCATGATGCAGAGTTCAACATCCTCTTTCCTCCTCAGAAAGGTCCTCAGGGAACGGTGCTGAATATGGTCCTCACCGCTAACAGCTGCTGGGTTTTCCTAAGCAGGGACTGACCCCAGATGACCCCACTGGTTGTCTTAGTTCCGATCATGTAGTTTAGAGAAACACTTCTCTCTCTCTGGTTTTCATCTCCCACAGACAAAATTTTCATAGATTGTATACAACTTTTCCTTTTCATACACAATCTAAAGCCATCAGAAAACAATCAGAAGAGTAACAATAATAAATAAATAAATAAATAAATAAATAAATAAATAAATAAACAAATAAATAGAAGTGAATCCATAGAAATGCCCCATGTCTGTACATCGGAAGTGGCGGTTTAAGTCAGATGTTTGATTTCCCTTTTTTCATCCACATCAAAGGCAGGAATACAACAAGGCATTGCTAGTTGTGGTGGGCAAACTGGAGTGTCTGCTGATATAACAAATTAGGTTTTTTAAGGCCTTTGTCTATGTACAGTTAATAGGAATACAGAAGCCAGATTGATCAAGGAGAGAGGCCGAGGACCATGAAGCAGGGAAGAACAAAAATAAAAGGTGAAAGGTCAAAAGAAAGAAAGAAACCAAAGGGGATGGGCAGAGAGAAGGAGACAACGCCAGAAGCGAGTTAACACTGTCTGTGGATGGAGAAGTACACACTGCTTCCCTCAAGAGCCGCTCCTTGTCTTGTTAGTACTGTCAGAAGGACAGACAGCAAGGTCAGGACACCCAGCGGCAGTTAAGAGGTTCATCGTGCCGGCCATTCTGAGGAGTGGATCGGGAGGGTGGATCTGGGGAGAGGGCCCTAGCCCAGGATATCCAGGTAGACAGGAGATGCCTTGGCCAAGTTCTGAAGGAGGGTGTGGATGCTCTTGATGTTCTTTCTCATGTGTGGCTCCCGCTGCCAGCATCCCAGCATCAGCTCATACACCTCCTGGGGGCACGTGCGAGGCCGCTGCAGGACTCGGCCCTGGGTGATGCATTCTATCACCTGGAGGGAGACCAGCGCAGGGTTAGTGGGAGAAAAAAAAAAGCCATGGGTGTGGGATGTCAGTGCAGGAGGGGCAAGGAAGGGCCTCTCCTCTTTTTAACTTTTTAAGAAGTCAAGTCAAACCACTCTGCTTATTTCTGGAGGCCAGCATGACAATTTGAGACATATGTTTATATGTATACAATGTGTGCTGACTATATCAGCACAATTAGTACATGTATCTCCTTAATCATTTACCATGTCTTTGTACTGGGAGGGAAGCTTCCACGTCCTCCCTTCCAGCTCAGCATACAATCCTATCTTCATTATAAGGGGCTGAACATTATTCCACTGGGTGGCTCTATCAGCCCCTATTGAGGGGCTGCCAATCAGTTACCAGTTTGTTTGTTCTTTTAAAACACTTCGTTGTAGTTACTCAGTGAAGATATAATGTTTACAGTCTACAGTCACAGTACAATGCTGCAGAGTTCTAGAATTAGTTTTCCCTGTGTGCCTGTATGGTAGTACTAGCATGCAGCTTTCCTCTCTATTCCTTCACCAAGCCTTCCCCTGTAGATTCCCGGTGAGAGATGCGTTTTCTGTTTTTAGGTATGGTCTTGCTATGTAGCCCAGGCTAGCCTTGAACTCGTGGTCCTTTTGCCTCAGCCTCAAAGGAAACCCTGTTACTGCTTTCTCACAAGGAAGAGAGCCACTATGGTTTTACAAAACTGGCAAAGGCCTGACTTATTCACAAAGAGAGATCCAAAGTTCACATAGGAAGTCCTGTGTGTTTCAGGTTTTACCAGCTAGAGATAGAACCCAAATTACTTTTGTGTAAGGTGTTGACTGACAGGGACCCCCTGGCAGCAGATGTGATTAGCATCACTGTGTATCAGAGCTGAATTAAAAGACAGGCATGGATCTGAGAGGGACAGGAGATGCTGAGCGAGATGCTGTGCCTCAAACACAGACATGCTGATGGCTGGCTGTACCATGGGCTCCAGCTGTGCACCCAGACAACATCAGACTGAAAATGCATGGGGTAAAAAATGACATCTGCACTGAGCATGTGCAGACATTTTTTTCTTGTCATTATTCCCTAAACATATTGCTACTCACACTGTGCCTATGTGTACTGTTGTTGTAAGTAAGCTGGAAATGACCCTGGAGAAGTCCAGGTCACTTGCAAATACTACATTATCCCGTAGAAGAAATTGGGGTGTTCTAAAGTTTGGTCTCCAGGCGGTTCTTGGAAACAATCCCCATGGATTCCAAGAGGTAACTATATTTTGCAAAGGAATTGGAAGAGGCAAACCAATGCTTGAGCTTCTCCCTAGTAGTTAATGTTCTAGTAAAATCTGAAAAATAAAAGGACTTTGCAACTTCTCTGGAACAGTACAGGAATGTTTGCCAGACTCAGGGGCATGGATCGGTAAGGCTGCTCTTAATTTGTAGATGAGCAGCACAAAAATCACTCCTCAGTCCTGTCGTTAGAGGGAGCAAGGTTGGGTCAACAAACCTCCTTTTCTCCAAAATTATTAAAATGAGTCTGGGAGGAGCTGTTGTCTCAAGCAAAGCAGTGTGTGACTGTGCCCTGGTTCCCAGCACAAGAGCCCTCAGACTAAGGCTGCATGTCTTAGATTTCAGCTCTGGTGGTGGTGGTGGTGGTGGTGGTGGTGGTGGTGGTGGTGGTGGTGGTGGTGGTTGTGGTGTGTGCACGTGCATGTGTGTGTGTTGGGGGGGTCTCTCCCAAACCATTGCACACCTCGTTGTTTGATAGCTGATACCAGGGCTGCTTGCCATAGGTGAAGATCTCCCACAACACGACCCCCAGGCTCCAGACGTCACTCTCAGTAGTAAATTTCCTGTACATGATGCTCTCTGGAGGCATCCAGCGGATGGGCAGCATCGTGTGGCCACCAACCTGGCAGGGAAGGCATCAACAAGGAGTCAGTCATCTAGAACCAGCGTGGAAGGTTGCTGTGGGGAGATTGTTCTTACAAGGGGTATATCCTTTCTCTGTCATCTCAGGTAACAGAGTCAGAGAGCAAAGACTCATCACAACAATGTTTCAAATATTATTTGCACTTCTCCTTTCCTCAAAGCCCGAGAAGAGTAGAGACCATTAAGTGGATGTCCATTTTGGATTTACAAAAGCCTTCACATACCTTCTATTGGAGGAATTGACCTGTCTATTAATAAACATGATAATTTTGACCAAGATAACAAGCAAGGGCTCTGCATCCCAATCTCGTAGTACCCAAGATGGAAGTTATTATTCCCATTTTACTGACAAGCAACCAAGGTACATGAACTGTGTTTTTAGACTCCAAGCTTTAGAGTCTCCTCCACAATAGGGTGCTATGTTGCTTATTAACCACAATAAATAAATTTATTTTAAAAGAAAAATGCCCTTCTAGTGAGAACACAAGCTGTGGCCTTATCCGGTAACAGCATTAGCACACCACAGCATCTTGACTGACACAGGAGACTTGTGGGTGGTTTTCTATATTGTAGAGAAAAGAATGCCATTACAGGTTGGTCACTCATCAGGCTGTCTGGTTCCTGCGCAGTAGCCATGTGGCTTGAGGATCTCCTTTCTCATCCTGGCAACCCCTGGTACTACTGAGGCCACAGGACACACTGGCACTCAATGGCCTGAATTAGGTCTGAGTGACACTGACAGCTCCATGGTTTAACATGAACACCACATGGAATCACTGTCTAGTTTTCATTTTCAATTCATTTTCAATTTCATTTTCAATATTGGTTTCTGATTTCTTAGACAAAGGAAGTGTCTCTGCCCATGTGGCTGAAAGTGGTGGCAACATTTCCTCCTGGGACCACAACCAATGTGGCACAGACCCTGACCAACCAGGAGGCAGTGTACTACATGCATGGTGTCGTCAGACTGTGACCACTGGTCCTGCTGACCCTTCCTCACTGTGCTCAGAACACTGGCAAAGAGAAGCTTCTGAAGCACATGGAGGGCCCAACATTTCTGGATTCTCAGAAGGACTCATGGCCCAAGGGTAAATGATGCCCCAGGACCTGGCAGTTTTTACCACAGCAAATGAGGACTGCTCTGTGGATACATGGAGACTGGCCCTGATGCTTCCCCTTTGGCCATATTCCAGAAAGGTCTGAGAACATGCGTTTCCAAGACGTTTTCCCTGTCACGTGGCACTACTGTGTCACTGATATTCTCTGAGAACACACTGGGGGAGTTTTCCACAGTTTACAGACGTCTGCCCACTCCTCCATCTAATGTCATGAACATACATAGTGCTTCAGTGAGCTGTAGACAGTGAGAGTGCATCACTGGTTAGGATTTACCCAAGGTGACACCTTGACACATGGGACAGACAAGCCTAAAGTCCAGCTGTCCCCACTGCCCATTTCATCGACACAGCGCACATTTACTGGGGACTACTAACGTCCTAAATGCAGCACAGCTCTGCTTGGGTCCGACACAAACAAAGTCGGGGCAAAATCAAAGGGGAACTGTTCCAGAGCTCATGCTTCCTTCCCCCAAACAGCATTCCTATCCTATCAGTTTATTGTCACGGTGGTAAGAGTATGGCTGGCCCCGGTGTGTGTCTTGATGTCCTAGTTATTCCTCATTACCAAAAAAACAGATCTTCAGGGGTAAAAGTAAGACTTACAGAGTGACAGGTCATAATGAAGACTGTGGCTTTGTCTTCTGGCTGTGCCAAGTCATAGTGTTAATGCATCTGAAGGGAGAATTTTGAACAAAGAGGTCAAGTGTCCGCTAATATTTCTGGGAAGGTGTAGGGTTTGAGACAGGCACCTGTTTGGGGGAGGGGACTGGTTCCTTCCTCTGCAGATCTTTCTTTAGGAGCCCTTTATGAATGCACCACCCTGAGTTTCTCAGAAATCCTGGAAGGCAAAAGGCTCAAAGGGGTGCACAACTGGATGGTAGAGAAGGCTCCAGCAAAGCCTGGAACTAGAGTATGGATTTTAGTGGGAAAGATACAGTCATTTGCTTTATGGAAATATTGAAGCTATAATCCAGTTTGTGATCAACACATGTTGAGGTGTGAACCAAAGTGTCAGGTTTTGCATACGGGCCCCTCAGAGTTGTCACTCATACATCACCAACCTGCAGCTTGGTCCTTCTTGGAGATTCAAATCTCAGAGTCATGTTCAAGCATCGGAGAAGTTCAACAAATGAGAATAGATTTAACTTTTGTAGTTACTAAAGCATATGGATATATATTTGTGGAAGAAAAGCCTTCTAGAACCAGACGTCTGCACACTTTGGGGTGTACTGATCTCTCAAGACTCCACACTTTCCTTTCGGCTTGAGTACCACAGTAGCACGCTGTGTTCTCTACCAACAGAAACTTCGAGCTCTAAAAGTACTATTTCTCTAAAAGTCGGCTGTCCTAATATTGACTAGAAGTAACACTGGTCTGTCCTAGTTTCCCTAACTGGACTGTGGGTAAAGATATGATGCTTCCCCAGGTTGTCACAGGTCAATACTCAAGTACACATTCGTCAAACTGCTTTACAGTCTTAATATGTAAGGGCTTCCAAGGGTTGGCTCCTCCTCTGAAGTGTTGTTCTGTGCCTTCAGTGGGCACCAGGCATCATGTCCCCATTGGAGGAAGAATCAACACACAGGACTCCCATATTCTTCAGCTGTAGTGACTTCACAGCTACACTGATGCTCTGTCTAGATCTGCGAGCAGCCAGATGAAAGGCTCTCACGTCCTGACACTCACGTCTTGGTTTGCACGTTTTCCCATCAGGTCATTATTTTCTGCCTGAGCTCTTCGGGCCAGATGTTTCCTGCTTTTCACTTATTTCTTTTCAGGATCTCTTTGGGGATCTCACGTGTGTTTTGTAAAGAATGGTTTCTTCTTCTGTTTTCAGACATGAGTGGTGGGATAATCTACTACGAGTTCAGGCAGGGTCCACAAGTCTTCTAAGCCCATTTAGAACAACCTTGCACAGCCCTTTGGGGCTGTTTCCTCAGGATTTTGAGGCGTGTCACAAGAATAGACCCACTAAAGAAACAGTCACAGTTGTAGCAAATTGCTGTCATGGTTTTGTTGTAGACACTCAATGACTTCCAGGCCAAACAGAACTACAGTCTACTCACAGTGGAGTACAAGGAGATACTTGTTCTGTACCATGCTGCTTGGCCCACAGCCTTGCTTAAATATTTGCAAGATTGAATGTGATCCCTGAGTATGACACTGGGAATCTGAATTTCTGCCTCTGGTTGCCCGCTGGCCCATGGTGCTGAGTGTGCTCCAAGAGTCAGGTTGGGACAGACTGAGTGCCCTTCAGTGTGACAAGTAATGGAACAGATGGGGAGATAGAAATCCAGTGAGCAGGGAAGCTGACTGGAATCTGTCATTTATAAACTGTTTCTAGTTCCTCATATGTTATTAACCACCCTCCCAGGCTGGTTCCTGTTGTTCTGACTGCTTGGATGTAGAAGATTAGGATTAGCCCTTGGTTACTCTCAGTGCAACATGCCATGGTTCTGTAATTCCACACCACCACTTTGCCCTGCTAATCATCCATCACCAGCTAGTACCTCACCTTTAACAAAGAATTTCCATTCAACTATCCCAACATACCTGACAGTCACTCTCGAGAGAAGACACTGGCCTGTTTGCCCAGAGCCACATACAAACTTCTTCCACTTCTTGATGGGTTTCTTGATGGTCTACCACATGTTCTATGTAAAGTCAGAAAGCCAAATCATACCTTCTCACCCAGAGAAAACTTATTCATGCCTCTTGCAAAGATTGATCTCCCTGTAACCAAAGTTCTTTAAAGGCAGATTCATGCTCCCTCGTTTCAAGGAAGCCTCCCACCTACAGGTCCTTGGCTGTCCAGTGCCCTTAATGTAGCTTTAAGAACTCATCAGATACTGTCTCCTGTTAACTCATTACCTCCCCTAAGAGAAACAACACTAACACATTTATATCTAGATGATGGGATTGTTGGTGAGCAAAAGGTGGGTTTTCACGTGTGCTGCTTTTGGAGAAATTCCCACAGTGTGCTGCTTTTGGAGAAATTCCCACAGTGTGCTGCTTTTGGAGAAATCCCCCACAGTGTGCTGCTTTTGGAGAAATTCCCTAAGAGGGATGGGTATTTGCTGCTCTCATCCCACCTCCAATCTCTTAAAATGTCTTAACAATAGATCAAACAAAGTCCTGGCTTAGATGTAGAAAATTTTCTTGTTTTGTTGTCTGGTGCAGGAGACAGAGAGAGAGAGAGAGAGAGAGAGAGAGAGAGAGAGAGAGAGAGAGAGAGAGAGAGAGAAGGAGAGAGAGAGAGAGAGAGAGAGAGAGAGAGAGAGAGAGAGAGAGAGAGAGAGAGAGAGAGAGAATTGGACTGGAGGGATGGCCCAGTGGTTAAAAGCTCACAGTGCTCTTTGCAGAGGACTTGAGTTCAGTTGTCTCTGACCTCCACGGACACCTGCACTCATGTTCACGTTTATGTGCACGCACACACACACACACACACACACACACACACACACACACACACACACACACACACACACTCAGCCTGCAGGTAGGCACTCTCTAAGATGTTGCAGAAAGCCCACTCCTCAGAACCACACCTGCACAGTGCTTTGGCTGTGGAGTTGGGTGCACCTCCCCAGAAATGAGGTCTGGAAGACTTCTTGGTTCACAACTGAGGAAGTACTGATCTTAGCCTGGCAACTGGGTCCCCACTTCTTCTGAGGCCGAGAAGAAGGAAAGAGAGTAAAGAAGGCAGCAAAACCATGAACAATCATGAACAAGCAAAGGAACTTGCTGACTATGAAGGCTGTTAACTGCAACTTGGCTAACCCAACAAAGCTAATGAGAACAATGTCTGAGGCCCAAGCACTCCAAAACAAAGCAAGCTGAGAAAAATGGATTCCGTTTGAAA